CAACGCTGACAGGGGGAGAAAAAGAGAATCTGATACCCCCTATGCTCTTGGCTGGTCTGACCACGACTGCCGTAAGATCAAAGAAAACAGCACGAACCCTGGCAGATACTAAATTAGAGATGGAGATCATCAGTCAATGTGGATCTGGAGGACTTGAAGATTACAGGCCCTCGCGGACCAACATAGCCAAGTTGAAGCTGGAAGTATAACTCGACGTGGTCGAGTACAGTCGAGTTACTGTGCCAGAATCAGTCCACATGGGAGATCCAGCAGGAGGTTATGTGGAAATGTTGAAAGCGAGAAACTCCGCGAGAGGGCACCTGATGGCTTGGAGCGAGAAGCGAGCCATGCAGGAATATCTGAAAGAGCTCACGGAGAACTCAAACTTAAATCGAAAAGAATACGGCACGGTAATGTCCTCTGAAGCGAACGAAGTCGGATTGGAAAAATTACTAGAAATCTCCTGGAGGGCGGCCCTCCAGAGATACTTCGACGAGGCGATGCATGCACCTGCTACAGTGGCGGCATACCTGGCTCATCCTTGCGTGAGAACTGATCTGCAAGTACGGTTGGCTTGGTGCTTGTTGGGCATCAAGAGAGCGGAGTATGAAGCCAGTAATGATTCGAAATCACGGGAACAGGAACTGGAGTTGATGGAAGCTCTGCGAGCGTTGATTTCGAAAGACGATTCTGCGATAGCATGGGCTAAGCGTAAGGATGCCCTTTGCTTTGTCAGGTTCGTGGTGGATCGTATCCCCACTCCTGTTTTGGGAGAATGCATAAAGATCATTCGGCAAAAGGGAGTTGATTGTGAAAGGAACTTCCTTAGGGCACACCTGGAACTATATCAGGACATGCCATTGACTGTGCCAAGCAAGGAGTCGAATGATATGGAAAGCTATTGCAAGTTGGAAGAGGTGAGAAGTTATTCCAACAAAGAATTGAAAGTGAGCCGGGAGTTGATTGAAGCGGTCAGAGGACAAAAAGAGTTTGCAACACTAGGGAAACTGAAGTCATTCCAATATGTGTCTGGCATACCGGGGATGGCGTATAATCCCTTTGTGAATGAAGAAGCCAGGGAAGCGTACTTCGACTATGAGCAAGTCATAGTACTCAATTTCTGGGTTGAACGTATTAAAGAAACTGGGATGCTGATGGTGGAACAACCCAAGCTGGGAATTATTTTGGAAGAATGAGTGGTCGAACCCTCGGTTCCCGAGCTAAAGGGGCAAGTGAGTTTTGATTGTGGTTCTTGGGACGGTCCCTTGAAAACCAGTCTAGTGACGATGTGGGAACTCATGAAGCCTTCTTGGTGCCCTCATCCTAATGCCGGTTTAATCTGGGACATGACGGCGGATATCACGTTAGACCTAGGTGATGACGCGAGTTTACATGATCTGGCCATGATACATCATCTGCTGGCCATGAGATTGACGAAGCGGAAGAGCAACCCATCCACGGAGCTGTCCGAGGAAGGTCCATCGAGTAATTGGTTGAAGCAAGGCACATGCTTGGCTCAACACAGTGGGATGGAAGGACATGTTTGTAACCTGGGACACTGCCTGGTTACGCTGAGCGAGCAGCATCGGCAACTGGCACGATTGTACGGAAGACTGAGCATGTCGGATAAAAGTGGTATGGAGTTGGTCGCGGACTGTCATGGGGTGACGGACGTAAATTTGATCACAGCCTTGGGATTTTGCAGCATGACGAGTTCGATTGAATCGCTTGAGCGCCTGGAGCGTGCCCATGAGCTAGTGACGTCCCTCAGCGTGGAAGTATTCCCTGGAGCATTGCAGACAGAGCAGAAGATCGGAGGCTGGAGAGAAGCTCTGGAGAACGAGATGAATCTGAAAAATAGTGAGGCCTATCATAAACCGACTGGTTCAAAGTATCTGGTGGGTTCAAGCTCCGCACCATATTGCAGTAGTAGATATCCTACACACATGGTGGTGATGGATGCGAGGACGCAGCAGGTGTTGATTGACCAACTTTTCTCTGTGCCAAAGTGCGTGAGGTTGGCCAGAATGTCGAAGAGGTCATATGATATATATGACTTGCTGGAGAAAGTGTTGGAAGACAGCGAAGATCAAGATGGAGAAGTGATGGAATGAAGGTGACCAAAGAAGAGAAGAGAAGGAGAAAAACTTGATTGTCTTTGTGTGCTAAAACTTAAACCAATTAACCAAGTTTTGATTATTGAACTTGTGAAACTTTTTGTTTTGATCTAGTTTGGTCAAACCAAACTTTGAAAATGTTGCAATTGTTAAAATTGTTGAAATTCTTGATTTTAGTTATGGCTATTTATGTATGTATATGAGGAATCTAGGTGAGTACATTTACCTATTTATTCACGACTGAAGTTTTTAACCTGTGTAAGACACAAATTCACTGTGTGGCGACATGGTAAGTTTTAGTAAACTCGCTCGAGAAGGGTGGGTAACTCAATAACTTTCCTAGCCACAGAGTTTCTTAGTTTTAATATTGAAAGGACCGCATAAATGACTGATTATACTTGGTGAGTAGTGTTAAGTTAATTTTAACGGGTGCTTGGCCGTGCCACGTCCCACTTTTTAATCACAAAGAACGAAAAGAAGTTTTATGGCAAGACGACGTAAAGTAGTCAGAAAAGAAATTTTATCTAAGACACTCCTCATGGTGCAAATTTTGTGAAAATGTTGAAAGGCAGTGAGATGTAGTACGATGCCATTTGTGAACACGTAGTGAGTTGAGGTGGGGTAGATAAATTTCATTTTCTAATGCGATTTGTAAGATTGATTACAGAAAACTGGATAACTACTTGACGATAACCCGGTGTTATGCGATCAATAGGGACATTGATGGGGACTTGTCCGGGGAGTATGTGCCATTCCGCCAGATAGGCTCAGCGCAACCTTCCGGCGACACGAAAGAAAACGAATAGAGGCCTTACTAACGAAAAAGTATTGCGAAGGAGGGTAGGAATATTCTAGAATTTTTATTTTTAAAATTTTGATTGAAGAGTGAATATTTCTGAGAAATAGAAAAAGACGGCCATTTTGACTGAAAAAGTGACGAAAATCAGAACAACGACAGATATTGTGAAAAACAGTCGTACCAGAGACGGAAAATACGAAGCCTCTTATCGTGGCAACAACGCACGATAAGACACTTGTCAACAGATATTGGTGGAGAAGGAGGCTTCAGTGGGGGAAGAAATATACCACGGAACCCTCCCGGGACACAAAGTGGAGGAGATAAGAGCGTTATCTCAGGAATATTACGGGAGCGGAGGCTTGGTCCCCCAGAGACTGTTCTATGTGAAGGGACTGTATAAACTAACTTTATAGCTGCTGGAATGTCAAAGATCTCTTAATTAACACCGTCATTGTTTAATATTTCAGAATATGAGTAGCTAGAAAAAGGAAAGGGTCAATCCATCTCCAATGGATTTAATATAAAACTGTCACACAAAAATATGTTAAAATAGGTTGTTCGAGCCGTGTTTTTAATGACAATCACGTAGTCTGAGGATCCGAGACTCAGCTATGTGGTTGTGTTCGCATGTAAACGAAAGCTGATCAAAAGTCGTTTGACTGATGGCCTAAAAATGGTAACTTTTTACTTTGCCCTAGACAGACCAGAAAATCAACTGGCAAGGTCGAGACGGTGAAAAGCGAGTAGGATTAAGGTAACTGACACCTGCCAGTCGTTAATAGGTACTTTTTCTACGCTCCGTCGCTGTGTAGTATTTGGGCGAATGTTACACAAGTTTTTTGCGCATTTTGACTTTGAATTCTAAGTTTCTGCGGATGCAATAGAACGTTTTATTCGCTTTCGACATTCTTGAGTCAATATGGGTTGTCCATGTTAAATGTTTGGACACATGTATTCCTAGATCCTTTATCACATTCGAGCTTTCCACTGCTGTTTCACAAAGAATGAATTCGTGTTGATTTCCTCTAAATTCGACTTCAAAACATTTGTCCAGTGCCAGACTCATCTTGTTTTTGTCTACCCAGTTTTCAACGCTTTTTAGGTCCTGCTGGATGTCCTTTGTGTCTACATTCACTGCTAGTAATTTTAGGTCGTCTGCAAAGATAAATGGGTCACTAAATTTCAATACTTCAGGAAGATTTGCATTGTTCAAAGATTAGTTTTCAGTTATATAAGTTTCTTCAGGTCTCTACAGTTGCTGCATTCGCATAAAATGCGCCAAGTGCATGTGTCTGATTCGTTGTAGCGAGTTTTGATATTGATTCGTTGTAGCGATTTTTATGCCATAATAACGGTTGGAGTTTCATAGATGAAGAAAAAATTATGACTAACTTAATTGAAAAATTATACAAAATCAATAAAACTCGCTGAAAAGGAACCATCTCATCCGAGCCCAGAAGGTCCAGCGGCGCACCACAAGACTCCCAAGACCAGAGACCTACTTGACAGATCTGTCTCTGAAATTTCTCTAAGGGCGCTCGACAAACAGGCACAAACATCAAACATATCACATCTATTTAATAAGTTAATCACAACAATTAGGCTAAAAGTATAGTGTCAGTGTAATTGGTGTAGTTTCAGATTGGATAGGTCGTAAAATTTTTGTAAGTACATGAAGTGTTTCATGACAACAGTTTCGGCTTTTCAGTTTTCGACCGAAATGTTGGTGCCGCTCTGTAAATGACTTTCATTTTTTTTAAGGCTGTACATGATGTATATCCATGAATTTTTTAGCGGTTTTTTGTCATCTTTTCAAATTATTTTCAAGTAATTTTTTCAACTTAATTGCAAAAATGTTTTTCAAGTCTTTTGTAGCGCAATGTGTTTTTTGCATAGCAAGTGTTGCGAAGCTCCCTTACGCCTCTTTGTGAAAGTTGTTGTTGGAGTAATTTGAACAAGCTCAGAAGTTATATATTCTCTACTGTACGAAATTTGCTTGAATGGATTGAATTGCGCGAAAGCACTAACGCTAATGGAATGAAAAAGGATATGAATCAAACTATTTGTTTTTTGTTTTCAGAATCAGTTTATCTAAAGTTCAATTATTCAGCAAATGGACACAAACTGTCCGTTACCACCATCCCTGGAGAAGAATGGGTGGTCAACATTATCGATAGGTGATTCCTGTCAAAAAATTGAATACTATCCTGATGTAAATGCGTTGTTATGCTACCATGTTGGGAACAACACCAGAAGTTGCAACTATCTAAGTGTGCTGGAAATAACAACTGGACAAGTCCTGAAAACATTCCATTTCTCAGAACAGGTCGACCATGTAGTTTCAATGCTCAAGCAGAAAAAAATTCTTGTCGGAGCTGGAAAAGTTCTAGGACTGACAAAAGAACTTGGAGGATGCCTTTATCTGGAAAATTGTTTACAGCTTCCCGCGTCTACAACTTCTCAAGAAGTTTCTATAGAACTGACCTATGACGAGGTTAGTCAGAACTGCAGAAATAAGACAATTGTAGTTTGTTTGAACAATAATTTCTGAGAATAAATAGTAATTCAGATCAGCTGCAATTTTATGCTGTGGCATTATTGTTTTTCGCAAATTCTTTGAATTATGCGGTGAAATATGTTATAAACCCGAAGAAAATATCCATTATGATACACAATATCCATTATGATGCGCAAAATTTTTGTTTTTCTAAAAATGTTGAGGTTTTTGTGACGAGATGAACAATATTTGTTCAAGCAAATAAAGCACGTTTTGATTAATAAGATAATTTGTTCTCATAAAACTCAATTAAAAACGCATATTAATTTGTCATAGTTTTTTTTCACTTGGTTTATGCGCAGTTATTAGTATTTAAAGTATCTTAAATTCAATTTTGATACAGTCGCTTTCCATCTAGCGCGAAGATCTCATTCTGTTCCGCCTCATCAATTAGAGCAAATAAGTCCACTGGCTAAGCCTACTGCAGAAACTCAGAAAGTCAAACTCAATCAAATATGCAGAAGCTTCAACGAGCTCAAAAAAGTTGTCTGCGAGTTCTGAAACGGCAAAGTTTTCAAGTCAGAGACCTTTGTGCTAGCCTCGATCGCAACCAAGACGAGTTCAGCGATGAAACGAATAAGTTTGAGCATTGTTTTGCTTAATCTGCTGATTACGTTCTTCAGAAATTGTTGTATCTCGAGAATTGTTTGACGAGTCATGCTTCTAAACTCATTATGAACGTGTAGACGACAGAAATCAACTACTAAGTAGCGCTTCACATGCTAGAGCAGAGATAAAAAAAGTGATCGAGTCATCCTGGGTAAGCTCTTGTCGAGGAATCATGGATTTCTCAGCTACACACAACACAGCCTTCAAGGATACTTCGGAATCGATCAAGGCACCCGGAAGGTTAGTAGAAAACAATTTGTGACATTTCCTTCTCTTCGGGAACCTCGATCCTGAATATCAGAAGGCATGCGAAACTGCCAACGATAGAATTGAAGACTAAAGAATCAGGTTTTAGAGGTGACTCTAGACCCCATATATCTAAGCATGAGCAGCAGATGTGCTTAACAGAAAAGAATCGATCTCATAAGAATGGTTTTTATGTGTGAGAAATTCAGATCGATGACACCATCAGAATGAATAAGTTTTGTGACCAGCATCAGAGAGTCGCTATGAAGTGAGGATAGCAATGAGGAAGTAATAAGATAAGCTTCAATTGTTTGTCTGCCAGTCACGGCATCCAGCAATGTCCGTCAACATCATTTTATGAGACGACAAAAGAAGCATCTTGCAACTCGTCATGGCAGTTCTAGCCATCCTAATCCTCACCAGTAGCGACAAGAGATGCTCTTAAAATCAACTGGACTGGAACCATCACATTTCTCATGACAGAGAATCTCAGAATGGTCGAGTTCATCACTTGAAGGTGACTGTTGATGTTAATAATTGCGCTCAGAAAAACGTCATCATCTTGCAGGCTATGCCTCCGCTTGGTATCAAACCAGCAGAAGCTCCAGATCACTTAAATGTAGTGATACAGAATCCTAAAAGAAAGCCAAATAGCACACATCACTCAATCAAGCCAGCCAAATTCTCCAGTGTTGATTTTGAAGCCATTCCAGTTGCTGCCGAAAAAGTGCAAATGGGGCAAAGTTTAGCCCATCAGATGACAAGGAAACTGGTATTTCTAGAGACCAGGTCCTGGTGCATTAGAACACCTCAGATATTAGATGAATCCTCGAGATTTTGTCAAGACTCAAACTATTTAAGAAAAATTAAACTATGGTCATTTCTGGACGCTCGAAAAATGCTGAAACGAAAGCAAAAAGCAACCAAACTTTTGCGGTCGCATTCAATTTGATTGCCTGGGTTCGACTATGCTCTGACCAGAGTCAAAAATAAGTTCGAGACCAAGGTAACCAAAAGGTGGCCAACTTTGAGCAAAGTTTTCCGACCGAAAAAACTCAATTCGAAAGCAAACTGGCTAACAGCACGCTTCGTTGGCTTGTTCCAATAATAGGGAATCATCAAGATGCCTCTAATAGACTTTTTCACGAAATTCAAGCCGATTTTACTAGAGCCACAATCTGGCGAACTTCAACGGAAGTTTCCAAAGTGAAAAATTCAAATTTCAACCCCCTAAAATGACGAAAAGCTGTTTCAATCAGGCCCGTCCGCATTCCTCTGATCAGCTAAAGCGTGCTAGATCCATCTCAATTGATTGAAAGCAACTCATTATCAATAAAAAAAAATTGCAATTGTAGGCAGATATGCTATCAACAACACCAGATCAACTAAAACAGGTTTACAACTCTTGTAACCAACCGCATTGTCAAAGCTCAACAGATGCTACCAGCCGACAAGTAGAAAACCGTTCCGACTCATCAAAACCCACCTTACAACTGAACTGCAAAGTTTGCAGTTTTCATAGTCAGGATGCTCTTGGTTGTAGAGAAATCAAGGTTTTATTCCATCATAAGCTACAATTCTCGAAGCAAATAAAAGAACGAGTCAAAATGGCCATTCGACGACTAGACGTCGGATAGACAAAAAGAGTCGGAAGTTGTTTGATTTTAAACGATGAGGATATTTCGGTGAAGCTCTTCGCGTGAGAGCCTTAGTTGCAAAGTTCGCCTTGAAATTTCTCAAGAAGAAAACCAAAGATCAGAATCAGCTTCATAAGTTTGCACTGAACCTTCTTGTCCGAGACGTTCAAGGGCAGCACTTCGACGATGAAATAAAAAAATTAAAAACGGCAAAGACATTAGCCGGAAATGAAGTCTATTACAGCTATATCCTTCATAGATGTTGATGGATTGCTAAATATTGGTGGACTTACTGCAGCAGCTAAATGAGAAACTGAAATTTCAGATGATCTTACCTCGGAATACTATTTTCTCGAAAACTGTGGTTCACCGTTGTCACCTTGTTCAATTACACTCTGGACTGAATGCCACTGTTGCTCACAATCGACAGCAGCACCGCATCATACGAATCAAGATGATGGCGCGAGCAGTGATAGGGTTTTGCATCACTTGCTTCAGGTTTTGTAGCAGAGAATTGAATCAGCTTATGGGAAATAACCCTAGTGAGAGAGTCAAACCACAACCACCATTCTCCTAAGTTGGTATAGAAATAGCCCGACTAATGTATCCTAAGGAAGCCTATCAAGCACTCAAGCGTTACATACTGGTTTTCATTTGCTTTTCTATTATAGCAATCCGCTTGGATATTTCAAAAGCCTTGGACACTGAAGAATGCTCGAAGATTTTATCAGAAGGTTCCTTGCTTGACGAGGATGCCCCAAGCAGATCTTCTCTGATATTGGAACAAGTTTCAGTGGATCTCAGTAGATCTAATTCAAGTGAAAAGACTAATTCAAGACGAGTACAAGATATACTACTGCCTGATAATGTTCGAGACTTTAGTACCAATTGGACTACAATAGGCGCAAGAGCTTCCAAGTTTAGGAGATCCGTAGGAAGCTGCTGCTAAGTCAGCGAATTCGCTAAATCACACGGCAATAGGCAATGGAAGAAAACTCAAGCTAGATGAGATGGACACAGTGCTTTGACAGATAGAAGCTACACTCAATTGAAGACCGATCACTACAACTTTGATGATGCTCAGGACTTTAGGCCGCTCACTCCGTCGATGCTGTTAGATCGTTTCAAGTGAAGTCAGTTGCCAATTATAGGTAATCCTGCACTCGAAGAGCTTAATGAACATGAAAAATACCCGAAAACGATCCAACTACTTCTTGAAACTGATTGCATATTTATGGAAAAAATGAACTTCCGAGAACGTAACCGCTTTGCAACAACGCAATAAGAACCTTGTACAAAAACAAAATTTAAAAAGGAGAGCTATTTTGCCTTACCGATGATGATAACCCACTTTGTCATGGCTACTTGGAATCGTGGAGAGTATTTGCTGTAAGCGATTATTAGTGAGGGTAGTGCAAATTAAAACAGGGAATGGGAAGCTTAATACACAACCGATTTGAAGATTTCGGAAATTACCGATGAAAAACAACTGGTAAAATAACAAATTAAAAATACAAACGCAAAAACCAGTTCGAAAACAATAGTCAGTTATCCAGCTCCTCTTCCTCATCATCGTCCCAAATTGATCCTTCTTTCTTTTCCGATAACGATGCTTCCGATTCTTCTTTTTTTTCACTACAGGATCAGGGGCGGCATCAACCAACTTCAGCCGCCTGAGGACCACACGACACTCCCAGTTTACCTATTTCGCCACCCTCTCAACTTTCCACCTTCCTCGCAATCAGACCCGACAATGTAACAAGCCGCAATATTGAAGCAATCAAAGCCTTTTTCATATCTTAAATTAGTGTGTTCATATTTAAGTTCAATTTAAATCGCATGTAATTTTTTCCTTAAATCAATTTTTTCTTTTACCCGGATTTAGTAGCAAAAAAATTATCTTTAATTCAATTGAATTATTATTTGATACAGTCGCTTGCTATCTATCGCAAAGTACTCAATATTTATCAAATTTAATTTGAAACGAAAAAGGATATCTGAAAAAGAATGGGCTCTTATCCACTTTCCCCATTTCAAAATTTCCATTTTCATAGTTGTTTTACGTGTTATAACGGCTGATTGCGTGATATTACATATGTTCACCGTGCAAAATTTCATTGCATTATGGCAGCGTTAAATAAATTTTCAAAACTTGAAAATCAAATGTGGGAGGAGGGGCGGTGAAGTGGGGAGTGGAAAAGAGCCCGAGAGTGTTGTATAAACTTCAACTTAAGTGATCAAGAGTTTCGCGGCTCACCATAAGATCTCGCACATCTGTGAAAAGATTTAGGCTTAAACATAATTTTTCCAAATAAGTCCCTGTACAATATGATTATCTGAATCGCGGTAAAATTAACTGGTTTTTATATCAGGCGAAAATTCTACAACCATGGTTCGCTGGAATGCAGAATTATGTTGGGCTTACGAAGAGTTTGAAAAATTCGGTCAATTCAGTAATGGAGGATATCGAATCGTCGATGGAACAACTGCCGGATGATTCAAAACTAGCTGAAAGCGGGTCTACTCAGCTCACTAACTTAGCTAAGAAGGTTAAGTGGCACAGTGTGAAATTGAAGCTACCAGTTGAGAAATTTTTGGAACTTCTGGAGTCTTTATATTCTTTTCGATTCAGTAAAGATCGTGAATCGTTTCCTGGATTATCATCAAGCAGTAGTTCTGGGTCTGATATCAACCTTGCCTCAATGAACACTGATTATGCAATGCTGCCAATTTTGTTTGCAATATTAGACAGGTTGGCTTCGCTGCACCAAGCGGCCAGACAGCTCTTCCTTCGTCTCGAGGAGTTGGTGAGCAAAGAACCGAATTCGGATGGATCACACGATGTTGGAGTCGGCGGGTTAGTTTATCTGGTATATAATTTATGAAAAACATGTGAAGCTGATGAAATAGGCAGTTTCGTTCGACTTCTTGCCAAAAACTTATTACCAAACTTTCATGTTCGAGTAATTGACCCAGAGATGTTTCCGTTGTTACGATGGATTTAACTAGATAACTAAAGTAAGAGTCCCGGCCGGCTTCTTCGCCTAGAAGCGACCGCCTAGTTTCCAGTGCAATAGTTTTCTCCTCAAGCTTTGTCGCTTTTTTGAGTAGTCAGTTTAACTATAACAACCGGCTTAAGCAATATCAACAAGGGTTTTTGGACATCATATTTAAACAGAGCACCGCTGGAATTTATTGCTAATGCTTATGTCTAATCGTTTTTGCTTTTCCATTGTTATAGCTGGAATTCAATTGGATATATTTCCGGCGCAAAAAAACGCGATTGGTTTTTTGGTTCGAGAGTTGGTTTTTTTAAACGTTTCACTGAGGAATAGAAAATTACAGATTAATCCAGTTTTTTCTAATTGGGCTAGTGGTATAAAAAAAGTGCTAATTATGAAAACATCATGAAACGTGGTATGTTTTCAAGGTGGTATGTTTTTTCTTCGAAAATTGAAGTTGAAAAAAAAATCATTTTTTTCTGTGTTCCTTGTTCCAACTGTTTGTTGGCTTTGTTTATTACCCAAGCAAAAGCTTCGTATTCTAGGTGTTCACTTTTTTGCTTAATGCAAGTATCTTGCTGAATGCAAATATCCTTTTTGCCATTTATTTAGCTTGTTTGAAATGTACAGCTTCGCCTTTGTATATCCTTTTCTACAAATTTTCTCTGCCTGATTTTAATAAGACAACATAACTGATTCATTGAACTGTGTGGCTGGACGGTAATATTCTGAATGTCAAAAAAGAAAGAATTTAAATCCTATTTTGAATGTGGTTCTTCGTATAAAAAGTTAATTGTGAGGAGTTGATTAACTTGCTTGGGTTTTGACTCAGCCAAATTTTGACTTAGCCAGACACAACCTACCACGCCTATCTAGACGAAAGAGGTTAAATTCAATACAGAAAAGAAGATTACCGCCTCTGACAGAACTAAAGCCTGAAGCTTAATTTACAGTTGTTATTTCTGTCAGTTTTTGTTCATTCAAAACCAGCTGCTTGTTGGCTCTTTTCATAAGGTATTTGCAAAGTTTGAGAAGGATATCTTAGCTTTTTTGTTGTCGGAAAGTTAACAATTGCTTTTTTGTTAGCAAATTTCCAAAAAAGATATCGAATTCAATATGCCGTTTTCAGTTCATTTTTGGCTGGCTGTTGCGAAGCTTCTTACTGTAATATTTTGCCTTGCGTTGAATTCTGTATGAAAACTTGCGTTTTTAATGTAGATTCAGGTGTTCGAAAAAATCAAGATCTTTTTTTTCTGTTGTTTGTGATGCGATAAATATAATTCTTAAGTGTTAAATGAATTTATCACTTATTTAGGTCAAGGGGGAGTTTTTTGTGATACATTTTTTTCTATCATAATTATTCATTCGTGGTTCGAACGATGTCTTAAAACTTTTAATAAGTTTTGCCAGTGCCGAGCAAAACCGGTTTGAATTTTGATGTCCAATTTTCGCGAATAAAGCGAGTGAGCAGGCTGGTAATAGGCTTATAACAGTTAGTTTTGAACTTTACGGATAAATCCATTTATAAGTAGTTTAACTCAAGTAAAATTCGGTTTTTTGAATTTTGATTCTTTGTTTTAGGAGTAGACGAACGCTGTGAAAACTCTTAAACAGGTCTTTTTTCTTTGTTTTTTTCACAAAAAGTCTTTATGCTCTAATAACCACAGATGTGCATCATACATTTTAATCAATTTATTGATATGCTTTTTTTTTTGGCTCAATTCATTTAATTTGCTCCGAATCCTGCGAAAAAAGGTGAACGCTCTGCAGCCAAAAAAATTTACCCATTGAACCAGTTTTCTCAAATTGAGTTTGTTTATGAAAAAGTGTCAATCATAAATTGTGCTTAAAACGAGCTTCAAGGCCGTATAATTTTTTTACGTTGAAGTTCGAAAATTGAAGTTTTGCTCAAAAACGACTTTTTACTGTTTCCTTGTGTTTATTGCCTCTTTTCCACCGTCTGTTGGCTATGTTTCTTTCATTTTATGTATAAAACTGTTGTCAAATGTACCTAATTTATTTTAGCAATCAAAGTTCTAGGCTTTCCTTTAGATCCTCTCATCGCGCCAAAAACAAAAACGTTGCTATTTGAATTTTTTTGTGAATTTTAGAATATGCTGGAATATTCTGTGCGACTTACACAGCAACCGACTCTTCTTATTGACATTTTCCAACTGTCTGCTAACTTTTTTCTCATTTTAAAGATTGGATGACAGTAGTTCAGACTTTTATATAGGTCGTGATGAGTTTTTTTTTGTTTTTTTTTCAATGGTAAATAAAATTTTACCAATTGATCCACTTTTCTCAAATTGGGTTACTTTGGTCATATAAGTGTCGATCATAAATTGCTCCAGAAATTCTAAGAGCCTTAAGGGCATCTATGTTTCTTGAAATTCGAAAATTGAGATTTTTTCAAAAAGTTAAGTCAGCATTTTCTTTCTCTTGGCTTGCTCTTATTAACTCTTTTCCGACTGTCTATTGGCTATGTTTATAAGGAGAGATGTTTGCTATTATATCCACAAAATTTTATAAGTTCCGATACGTTTCAACATTATCTAATTGAAAAAGATTCTTGGCTACTAGAGATCATTAAAACTTAACTGTTGGCTTCAGTGCGAATATAACGGCTTTAATTAGTTAAGAATAGAGGATGCGTTGAGATGAAATATTATTGAATCCATATAATTTTCATTAAGTTTAATACTTCGGACACTGTTTGGATTCGGGCTTTTTTTGTAAAACTCCTTTTTGCGTAATTTCTGGAAATTGACTGAAACGTCGTAAGGGGTCGAGTGGTATATCACATGGAAGAATTTTCACTGTTCATTCGGGCTGCAAAAGATTTCGAGGTGTCTTAAAATAACTGGCCTGGATTCTTTCGCTTTTTGAATGCTTCTCTTCGTCCACTTCTCTCATTCTTGCTCTCCTACTTTGTCGTCTGCTTTTCATAGCCCGGGTTTGGTGATAAACTTCTAGAACTGTTTTCCGTAAACTTATGATCAGTTGCTTAGCCTCCGTTAAACAAAGATCAATAAGGTTTGTAAATAATGATAACTATGTTCGGAACCTTCTTGCTCTACAACTGGGACCACGCTAGTGTTTGTGTTTACCAGGTATGTTGCTGGCATGTGCAGTGAATATGCGAGGAGACTCACTTTTATCACCTGGCCTCATTACTCCTACAAGTGGGCCAAACCAGACTCAATGGCCAAGGCAGGCTTCTACCATACTAAGGGGGCACACAATGGAAAAGACGGAGTGCAATGCTTCAAATGTAGGATCAATTTGGTTAAGTGGGAAGCGAGCGATGAGCCGTGGAATGAGCATGAACAACATTCCCCTAACTGCCTATTTTTGAAAGGAGAATCAACCCATAATGTGCCCATTGCAAACACTGTTGCATTCAGGTTAGTTTGTGTTCAGATTACTTTACAAACTTGGTTGTACTTCAATCTAGAGCTCTTGGTTGAGTGCGCAAATGACGATTACGCTTGCGATTAGCAAGCGTTATCAAATCGGAGCCTCTTTTCCACCTCCCCCTCCTCCACATTTGAATTTCAGTTTTGCAAAACAATTTTAACGTTGTCTGTTGTAATGAAATTTTGCATGGTGAAAAAACTAATTATTCTAAACATATTTGTTCTTCATACCTTGTATTGTAACATACGCGTTTAGCCATACTCACACGTAAAACAACAAAACTTTTTTTCTGGTTAACAATTTGTTTAACAGAATCACTTGGTCTATTCGTTCATAATGAATCCAAATTTCTAAGCTTCTCCGGCACACATCGTCTGCATGTAACAAATATGCCTGGGACGGCAAAAGTTCTGAGTTCGAATCTGGCCAGCAACTATTTTTTTTCACACTGGAAAGTATCTGTTTCAAGAAACTGTCGGCTTACTATTGGTCTGTTTATGTTTTGTCGGCTTAGTTGCCTCGTCTTGGAATTTTTTGCTGCATTCAGTTTGTTGTAGTTCCTTTTTATGGTATCATTTACTCCTGCAATTTAGTATTGTATTCTACTAGCCTTGAATTCGTATGATTTCTTTTTTTTTGCTAAGAAAAATTGAACTTGAAAAAATTTTTCGGCCGTAATGATTTCGGCTTATTAATTAATTTTGGGTCGTTTGAGGTAACCTTCTGATCGCACAAAACGTTTAAAATCTCAGAATAGAATTTACAGTTCAAAGTTGTTCATGACAACTATTTTTTTGTGCTCAATTTTTTTTTTGAATTTTCCTTACACATCGTTGAAAGTGTTTCTGGACGTGTTTACCGCAATTAAAACATCTTTTTAGGCAACATTTTGAATTTTTTTTCTAGTTGTGTTTTCTTCAAAAAGTTCGACGATTTATTTGGCTCTTCTGTCTTTTCCTGTGCTTACAATGCTATTTCTGTGGTATCGCAAGTGATGCGAAGCTCCGCTTCGCCTCTGTGTTTATCGATGTTTGAAGGCAACACTTAATAAAGCTTACAATTAGCAACAAGCTTGTTTAACAAAATCACTTGAATCATCTGGTCAAGTCTGTTATTTCGCTCACAACAGATGAAATTCAATCATGTCTGCATTTTGTAGACTCTAAATTTTTCCACCACCGGAGCGCAGTGTCATATTACGAAGATAACTTTTTTCTCTTTCTAGTCGCAAATGAAAGTGCTTATTTGGTGGCACTTTTGTAGCAATGACCTTATATCAGTTTATTTTTGCTGCATTAGCATTGTATCTGGTCTATTTTTAATGCTTTAGCTTTATATCTTTGTATCTGGCATATTGGTGGCTAGTGTTTGATTCCTAACGGGCGCCCATGGCAAAGATTTTAGGACTTGAGAATCGTAATCTCGAGGTCGTGGTTCGATTTCGTCACGTATCAGAGTTTTCATTAGTTTCAGCTTTTCTTTTCTTTTTTTTTCATTTTGACTATTTTAGGGCCATTTTTGTGGCTTGTATTAGCGAATTGCAGCTTTGCCTCGGTGTTGAAAAGTTTTTAATGCCGGTTGTTATTTAGATTTGGTCTGTTTCTGCTTTTTCATTTCTGTGCCGCACTCTCGTATCCTGTAAGATCTACAAAAACCTGCTTCAAAATCTGTAAATTATCGGCAACTTAACAGATAATATGAAGAGTAAGTAATATATGACAACAATCAGTTTTCCATTTTCGGTTAGCATTTTAGCAATACGGTTTTCAACAATCTCAAAAATCTATAAACATTTTGATGGCAAACTGACCTTAATCGGACAAACCAGTAGTTTTTCAAGGCCTTTTGTCTAAGCAAATCTAATTTTAGCTTTTTCACTTTCGCGCTATAATGACGTCATTAATTTAAGCGCGAACATCTTCCGCGCCCAAAGGAGCAAAAACGGGTGCGAGTTTTACGGCCGGTCGAGTTAGCTCCCCGGAGCGGGTGGTAACTACGGCGGATCGGGCTATGTTGTCTTTTCCGTAATTAAGGGTTTTTATACGAGCCAGAGGGTAGTGTCCCCTTGGGCTGCGTTCGTCAACAATCCACACTAAATCCCCTGTTTTTAAAATAACGTCACTATCGGAGTGCCACTTACTGCGTTTATTTAGTGCTGGCACATAATCTCGCAGCCAACGACTCCAAATTGCGTTGGCGTAGCTTTGCGCTCGGATATATTGCTTTCGATGGTCGAAGTGCTCCTGGAAAGAGAGAGAAGGAAAGCTAGTACCATTTCGGCCTAACAAAAAATGATTAGGAGTTAACACCTCGAAACCATCCGGACTTGCACTTACTGATGTTATAGGTCGAGCGTTCAGTGATTGTTCTACAAGACAGAAAGTTGTTTCAAGGACTTCGGGAGTGAGCTTTCTACTTCCTATTATTGCGTAGAATACCCTTTTACAACACCGAACGAGGCGTTCCCAAGAACCACCGTGATGCGGGGCTGCCGGGGGGTTAAATTTCCACTTAATACCTTTTTTCGCCAGCTCTGGGGGTGCTTGATCGTTCCATGACTGAATACATTTTAAGAGTTCTTTCTCGGCTCCCACAAAATTGGTGCCGTTATCAGACCAAATGACTGATGGAGTGCCGCGACGGGCAATGAATCTTTCGATTCCCATTACACACGAACTCGTGTCCATGGATGAGACAATCTCAATATGTACAGCTCTGGTGGTCATACATGTAAAAAGGAAGCACCATCGTTTTTCAGAACTCCTCCTGATTGAGACGTAAAAGGGTCCAAAGTAATCAACACCACAGTTTGTGAAGGGAGGCTGGCGGTAACCAAGCCTTTCAACTGGAAGCTCTGCCATCATAGGTGTGACAGTTTTGGCTTTGCGCTTCCTACATATAAGGCAGTGGACTTCAATGGACTTCAATAAAGAGCGAAGGTTCAAGATTGCGAACTCTAAGTGAATTACAGCTCGCAGGTAGTCTAAGAACTGGTGCTGATAGCGATAATGAATATCACTTACGAACAATTTCACCAAAGAATGCCTTCCATCAAGGATTATAGGGTGTTTTGTGTCATATTCAGTTTCAACTAGGCGGCGAATTCGCCCAGTTGAACGAATGAGGAATGCAGGACCCATAAACGGTGCATACTGTGCAATACGACTAGACTTTTTGACGGTTTTGTTGCAGGATAGGAGTAAATATTCCGCTTCAAAAGATTCCTTTTGGGAAATCATCAAAAGTCGTTGTTTGGCGGTTTCTAATTCAACCGGATCGATTATTTCCTTGACTTTAGTGCGGTAGTGCCGGTGTTTCGGACTAAGTCTGAGCATGAAGGCAACCACTCGCTGGAGTTTACGAAACGAGCTGAACTTTTGCCAATCAAATAAAATGGGTTGTTTTTGATTTAGTGCAACGTTTGAAAAATTAGAGGCTTGCTGTAAGCCTTCATTGAGGTCACAAGCGGGACCAGCCAGGCGGATTTTCTTAAGTATTTCTATGCTCGGCTTGAAAGGCCACTCGCCACTTTGCAGCAGACTTGGCCCGTTCACCCAGCTGCTTGTTTTTAAGGACTCCGCTGAGATTCCTCTGGTTCCCGTATCAGCAGGGTTGTCTCCACTTAAGACATGAAACCACTGGTCTACGGTCGTACTTTCTAGAATCTCTCCAATCCGGTTTGCCACGAACGTGGGTTGCTTACTACCTGAGTTTAACCACTGGAGCACAGTGGTGCTGTCAGTCCACATGAACGTGTTTGACACAGGAATGGTTAGAGCTTTGAGGACATCTTCCTTCAAGCGGGTAGCGAGTAACGCGGCCTGCAGTTCAAGCTTCGGTATGGAAAGCGCTTTCATGGGCGCCACTCTTGCTTTTCCAAAGACGAAGGCAACTTGTGTTTCGAGTGAAGTTTTCACACGGGCGCGAAGAAAAGCTACAGCACAAAAAACTTCTTCTGAGCTGTCACCGAACATGTGTAACTCAACCCAATCGACTGGTCCGGAGAAGTAGCTGCGCTTTATACTCATTTTCCCTAGAGATGGCAAACCAGAGTGCCAGGCAAGAAATTTTGTCTTGATATCAACGGGTAGCTGATCATCCCATTGTTGACCATGAATGCGCCAGATTTCTTTCAACAATAATCGCGCTCTTACGGTATAGGGCGCTACGAGACCTATGGGGTCGAAAACGGAAGAAACAAAACTTAACACTGTTCGCTGTGTTATCGAATTTTTAAGTTCACGATTGACACCACGGCTTACGACCAAAGTGTCGTCAATATGGTCCCACTTCAGACCAAGAACATGAGAAGAATTATCCCCACAAGTTACAATATTTTTACTTTCCTGTTGCGGCGCGCTTTGGGGCGGGTTTAACTCTTTATTAATTTTAGTTACGTTACTTATGAACTTAGTTAATTTAAAACCACCTAGAGCTAACAGAGTAATCAACTCTTGACTCATTTTAAATGCAACATCAGGGTCCTCAAAGGAGTCAAGGTAGTCGTCCATATAAAATTTCTCTAGAACTGCGGACGCTGCGTCAGGGAACATCGCCTGATTATCCGTTGCAGTCCGTTGCAATGCATAATTTGCACACGTTGGCGAATCTCTTGCTCCAAATATATGTCTGGTGTACTGGTGTACAACCACATCGGCTGTGGGGTCCTCCCGCCACAGAAAACGAAGAGATGGTTGGTCCTCTGGAAGGACGCCGACTTGTAGGAACATCCCTTCAATGTCAGCCGATACGGCAAAATGATGTTGACGAAAACGGAGGAGAACGAACACAAGGTTCTGCAGTAGGTCGGGTCCTACTAGCAACGATTTGTTCAATGACGTACCGTGGAATTTAGACGCTCCGTTAAGGACACGCCTCACTTTACCAGGTTTGTTTGGGTTCACCACGGGATGGTGAGGAAGATACCACTCGCGTATGCTGCGGTTCGAAAAATTATGGGGAGGAACTTGAATCACGTATCCTTTAC